TGGTATGTATGTCGTTCATTCGTTCCCATATGGTCAAAAGCACATTATAATTATAAAAGAATTAGAAACATATTATTTAAAATACTTTTACATGGACACATATTATGCAGCTGTGATCTTACCAAAAACACCTGTTTTTCTGAATCATTTCTGATGGCCCATTTGTGTGTTTGAACAGACATCAATGAGTGTGAGACGCGAATGGTGGTGTGTGATGCTCACGCTGAGTGTGTGAATCGGTTTGGATCATACTCCTGTCACTGTACCCATGGTTACCGTGAGGTTCCTCATGGGCCGGGAGACGGCGTTTGTATGGCGTCTACTGAACCTGGTAAGAGCTTGATATTCTGAAGTTTATATTGACAGGTGCGCACTGTTCTGTGGGAGCTTTCAGATATTAACTTGAACTAGACCGCTTTCATATCCCTTTAAAAGGACAGCTGAGCTAAAAATTAAAATTCTGTCATTACATTTCATAACTTAATCTTTGTCTCCCCTCACTTTTTAGACTGTAGTTGGACACCATCTCCCACAATCCTCAGGGGCGTTTATATTGTCCTTGGCCTGCTCATGTTGCTCATCATGCTGATGCTGTTGGTGGCGTTTTTTCTGTATCATCGATACTATAGAGGCTCGTTCCTTCCTCATTGCCAGAAAACGAGCGCTAGCAGTGTCGTGGAAACCACTGCCAATTACGATGACACCAATAATAACACCGGAAGTGATGGTAACGGTGGTGCAAACCCGTCCATATCCCCCCCGCCACCTCCACCCATGAGGATGCCCAAAGATGGCCACCGCTCTCTGGACCTGCAGTTATTACGCTTCAGCTCTCTGGTGCCTCCTGATGGATTTAGAAGTAAAATACATACCGAGAAACACCAGTTTTGACTGTTTCACTGTTACTGTCACTGAATGCACTCCACCTCACTCTTATTTGTACTGAGTTATTTATTTCCATGCTGCTTTGTTTGCTGCTTTTCTGTTGGTTTATGATTTATGGAGTATTTGGGAAAATAATTGGCTTTGTTTCTTTTTTTTGGGTCTATTCTTGTATTATTGTTCACAGAAGCTTTCTCACTCTTGAAAATAGAATTGAATGGAACACAAAAGCACTTTGTGTACTTTGTTTTTATCCAACTAAATATGTGTTTGTTTGTGAAAGACAAAACTGGGTGTGTTCAACAGCGAGAGAAAACGCAAGAACATTTAAAGGGGTCATATTATGTTTTTT